TATGAGTAAGAAATAAGAATAAATGTTTAAAAAAAAGCAATTAGACCAAGGGTGTCCAATCCTTGGGCGACTATCCTGCTGAGTTTAGCTTCAATCCAAATTAAACACATCTAAACCAACTAATCAAGGTCTTCAGGATTGATGGAATTTCGTGTTGGAGCTAAACTCTGCAGGACACTGGCTATCCACAAACAGGACTGTATGAATGGTACGCATATATCAGACAGGTCAATTCATTAATATTAAGTGAGCAGGCATATTGAGATTAGCTATGAAGGCACAAATTAACCGACAAATGGCCGATATCAAAATTCTTTATTTTAGAGAATAGTTTTGATGTACAGAATTTTAAAAAGATATTCATTTTTTAGATTTATTAAAGATTACATTAAACAGCGTTATTAAATTATTAGTGCCTTTTCAAATATTAATTGATACTGATATTAACGTGAAATGTAAATTATTTCTATTTTTAAAATGCATGTTATTGATTTTGTCAACCAACTTTTTTTTTTTACCTTGTCATTTTTTATCGACATGTCATAACTGAATCTTCCGGCGAAATCACAATTCTCTATTGTGACGTATGCTGGACTTCCAATCATTTAGTGCACTTAAAATCCACTTCTTTCTTACAATCGAATTGACTGCAAACTTGAACTCAGATCTGCCTCCATTCAATATACAACTGATGTGTAGAACCGAGTCTCATTTTTTCTTTTCAGATAATCCATTTCACTTGAATGTGTCACAATACAGAAGAAAGATATGCCACTACTACTTCCATTACACTGTGACTCTAATATAGGTTGGTATGGATATATCATGCATCATACATTTTCTGTTAGCAGTACACTCTTAAAGTCAGTATGAAACAGATGTTGCAATATATTGTAATGTATACCCAAGTTAAACAGCCTCTTAAAAATTCAATATAAAAAAGAATAAATAAAAATAATCAGGACTTGATATTGTCCATCAGCAATTGACTGGCTTGTTGGAATGTCATCAGAAGAGAAGAGCTGTTGTTGCAAGAGGGAGGGGAAGTTACTTTGATTAAAGATTGTGACAGCTCATGAATTTAAATAAAATAATGCATGATAAATAATTTACAATAAATACTGCAATATTACATAATAAATAAGAAAATATAATAAGAATGGTCAATTTTCATTTCATAGTGCCTAAAAGTAGAATAAAAAAAAAAACAGCCTGTTTTTAGTGGAGTGGAAAATAACTGTAATCTTAATGATGGCTAGAATGAATGGCCTTTTTAAAAAAGTACCTTTCGGATTTCCTGCTGAAGTTGCTGATTGAAGTGAGCTTTAAGGTCTGCGATCTCTTGCTGGAGCTCCTCCACACGTGGGTCAGGTTTACTGCTCTCCGCCGCAGCAGCCTTCAGACTCTTCCTCAGCTCCTCTCGTTCCTGGCTGATCTCTTTCAGCTGCGATTCGTAATCTAGCCCTCGGTCTACTGCCTGCATGGCTTCAGCCAGCGCCTCCCGCGAGTCCTCCAGTTTGAGTTCGGCGTCCTGTCTCAGTCCCCTCTCCTCCTGCAGGAGTTTCTGAAGCTCTCGAAGCATGAGCGCATGATCGCCCTGCTCCTGCTCCCGTTCGTGCTGCTGGGTGATGACACGGGCTTTGCTCTCCGCCAGCAGCTCCTGCAGGCTGTGAATCTCCATCTGGTGTTGCTTCTGATCTTCCTCCATCCTGGCCTGCAGCTCCTCCAGTTCCTGCTTTATCTTCCGCTTGTCCGCCTGGAACGAAGCTTCCATTCTGGACTTTTCTTGAGTGATGGTTGATAAGGAGCTGGTCAGGGTGGACAGCTGCGTCTTTAGTTGGATGACACGGCGGTCTGTGTCTGCTGCAGGTGGTTGCGGCTCCGTACATCCACTGCTGCTGGTGCTGATGCCACTTTCAGACCCACTTGCCTCCTCGGATTGCTGGGGTAAGGCATGTACAACAGCTCCAGAGGTGGCTCCATCTACAGCACAGCTGTGGTCCTCCTCTATTTGGTCTCCTTTAGTGCTGTTGCTGGTCACGCTAGTGGCCGTTTCAGCAGAGGCTGCTGTATCCAGGCTGTCTTCACTGTGAACCGAACATCGGTCATCCCCAAGGTAGGAGGGCAATGATCGTTCAGCTTTTTCTGTAGCGTCACCAAATGACAGGTTATCATCCCGCTGGCTAAAATCAACCTCCTGAGATATGGACAGTACCTTCAGGCTGGCTTCCAAGGCCTCTTTTTCCTTAATTAAACTTTGGTACGCTCTGACAACATCTTTAAAACGCGTCTGATATTTCACAAGCTGTTTCTTCTGCAGTTCAATGGTTTCCTGCAGTTCCTTCTTGCTTGGACCACCAGTAAAGCTCATGCCAAACTTATCCATGTCAGTGTCAGGCTGGTTTCATACTCTCTGGTATGATCTCCACCTGCAAAGTAAATATATATGAAATAAAGAAGTGCAATGTAGAAAATCTGTAAGCAGATGTTCACAATATTTTGATTTTTTTTTTTAAATATTCCTTTAATTTATATATGTTTATATATATATATATATATATATATATATATATAGAGAGAGAGAGAGAGAGAGAGAGAGAGAGAATTGAACTATGGAAACTGGAAAGCATTCATTCTTTGACATTTAACGTTTTCTTGTTGTTGTTAGTCTTTGAGACTGTTTTTGTCTGTTATTTAATTTACTAACTATATTTCACTGCTCATTTGTTGTCGCTAAGTTAGCTAATTAGTTAGCATGTTGTAAAGGTGCAAGAATAGATACATTACATCAAATCCCACATCACGAGATTTAGACGTAGAAGCATTGTGAATTAAAAACGTCAAATAAATGTTCTCTTAGTTTCATTTACTGCTCATTTAATTATATTTCAAGAGAGAAATATCGCATTTACCCGAGTAACTTACGTGTCCTATTTATTTTGCTGGAGTCGCTTCCGGGTATGGAAGTGACGTTTCAGGGGGAATTAAAAGTGTAAAAGTATTACAAAAAAATATATGTATATTGCAAGTTTATTAAAATGCAAAAATTATTAGATTTTTAAATGTCATCTATAAAATATGAATCATTAATCGAGCAGGGAAAACATACTGAAATAACATAGTAACATACTAAACGATTAACCGATTGTTGTTGGGTTTTTCTTCTTTTTAAAATTGTATTTATTTTAAGATATTTATGGACTTTTTATATAAAGTCTCTGTTGTTGTTTTTATTTAAAGTGTTTTTTTAGTGTAATTCGGGGGGGGGGGGGGGTGGGGGGCTGGTGACTATTCTTTTGAAAAGTTCGTCATCATTTTGCGTTCACTCACTGGAAAAGAGCAGTATGAATTCTATCTAAAGTTTTTAATCCACTCCATACGTTTACGTGTTGTAGGCTATTGACTTCTATAATAATCTACTATTTTACATTATGAGCTAATTAATAATATTTACTCCCTAAAGATGTTATTATAAGTTTTTTATTTTATTTTATTTAATACGGGCTATTTTAACTAGTGAGGGTGTGTTAAAATGTTCAGTTTACATCTGAGGTACCAGCTGGTTTTGCACCTCTGGTTTACACACATGAATCAGAATACGCCTAAATGTGGAGTTCTCAAAGGGATATTTTACCCCCAAAAATTAAATTCTGTCACCATTTACTGTTGTTCCAAACCTTTATGTATTCCCTTCTTCTGCTGAAGACAAAAGAAAATATTTTGAAAATTTTTTGTAACCAAACATTTGTGTTGCACTATGGAATTCCTATTATAAAATTACTTGGGAATTGCATTTCTTTCCAAGTAGATTGCTCAAAATAGTTTCAGCTTTAATGTAGCCAAGAAACATGGCTTTATTTTTTCAAAATTATTTATTTTTGTAACCAATCCAATGCATGTTTTCAGCACTGAGCAATATTATTATTTTTTTTTTTTATTTTTATTTTTTTTTACATGGGTCTGTGACCAACTTATTGGCAGAATCTCTTTTCACTGAGCAGTGTACGGCTTCTCTCCATGTGAGCTCTGACATGGTCTGTCTCCTTTGTGAGTGAAACTCTTTCATTAACAATTTTTTCTGGATTTCTTGTTTTTTTTAGTCTGGTGCACTTTCATATAATCTAACTGTGTGAAACTCTTTCCACATAAACAACATGAGAACGGCTTCTCCTTTAGATTAACTGTCTGATGTCTTTTCAGTTGAAAAGCCAAAATTTTGTTTCTGGAAGTATCTCCCTCTGTTTTTGTTTGCTTGTTGTTTTGCTAACAGCCAAATACCATGGGAGTGAGCGACCTAACAGACAAACTAGGTCTCCACTTAAAAGTAGAATCTTTTCATTGCTCATTTGCTTTTACAAATGTTGTGAAATTGCTTCAGTTTCCCTCTTTGTCCTGCAGTGATGCACCCAAGGAACAGGACTCAATGAGGGACTAGATTGGCTATCTAAAGAACTATCAAAGCAATTAAAATGGAGAATTACTAAAGAGTTAGACCAATTTGAAAATCATATGCAAATAAATAAACAAATGAAATGCCAGTACAGGAAATGTCAAAATGTTCTTTGCTGGTTTGACCTTCGCATTAAGGACTTTGCAATCAGTTCCTGTTCTAATGCACTTTTCTGCATTTTCCTTCCCCATTTCTTGTTCCTTTGTCACCCTTTCCAGATTTTTCTTTTTAAAACAACATCATCTTATTAATTATTTGGCCTTGTATACTAAAATATTTATTACTATGAAACAAAGATGAAGGCAAGTATTGTAGTATTTAAGACAGAGATTGTTGGGATTCAAAGCATTAAGGATTTGTAAAAACAAAAAGATTAGGTATTATCAGAATTCCTCTCATAAATCAAGTGTCAGATCAGTCAAAATTAAGAAAAAACTATATACATGGGTGTATATATATATATAAAGGGTATAGTACAGAATTAAATTATTCAGCATTGGTAGTTAACCACAAATAATTAGATGATTCTTGACAAAAAAAAAAATGAAACTAAAATGCATAGTACTTTATTTAATATATTATTGTTAATGCAGTTATTCAAAGTTTTGACTTCAAGCCTTTTAATTTAACACATATGGAAATAGACTGTAAAAAGTCAATTCAGTGCACTTAAGTTTCTGCTTTCACAGATCCAAGAGAAAATAACTTTGTATTATTATAACGCCTCACTACAAGCTCTCATACTTTACATTAAGATTGGAATATGAAACTCATAGTACAATTATAACACCCAGTGTAATATTGTCAAAAATATAAGGCTTCCGTGGCTATATAGATATAATGTGATGAGCAGGTCCTTCAGTCAAAACATGCCTCTATTTTTATGAGGAAGCTGTGTGTTAAAAGATACAATGGGTTAAATACAAATACAAATCTATAGTCATCTCATTAATACAGTAATTGAAACCACTCAATCATAAATGGGGGCTAAAATATTGACAGCATTTAATCTTGCATCAGATGAATCCTGTGACCATAGTCTGTAACATTGCAGTTGTTCAAGATTTACACATTAACTTACTAAGGTTCAGGTCAAATACACCAGACACCAGCAAAGGCCCCCAATTCGGTGTAATAAAGTCTTCTTACAAAATAAATTCATTGTGATTGTGCTAAACATCAGATGGTTGTGATGGCTGTTTCAATATGAGGGCACCAATTTGAGCTTGTAAAAGTGGGTAAGATCAGTCCATTTTATCCTCTTTACTACACAATAACAGGTTCCCGCTGGTTGTTCTGCCTTTTGACTACAAAAACTTTTTGTCCTGAGATGGTCACAGCATAAACGTAGTCTTCAAACATCACTGTGGGGGAGAAATCACACACTTACATCAGGGTATTTATTAAGTAGTAGTGTAGCTTAACACAGAATTTTAGGATAATTTTCTGTATTACAGTGATTCAAATCATGCTGTCCAAGCGAAAACATGTATGTTTCTTACCTGACATGCGTTTGAAAGGGGGCTCAGCTGTTCCGTGCAACCTAAAACGACAGGCTGTTCTGACCATCTGCATGATCACTCCTGCCGTGTGCTCGTCATTCTCCAGCTCTCCTGCAGACTGCAAGAGGACAAGATTTACAGAAGAACTTCCCTCTTAACAAAAGAAGAGTCCTAACATTATCTATCTATCTAAAATTATAAAATGTTTATGTCCAGATAATACATGTATACAATTATTTTTTAATGTTATACATGTTTGGACAATTCTCTTATTCTTTCTTTGGATTTTTTTCCCCCCTTGCAACTCAAGATTATCTATTCAACAACACGTCATCTCTTTGTGTACAGTAGTTGAGATAAGTACAGTGATTAATTTGACTGCTCATTAAATGTTTAATAACTTACCGCAAGTACACCGTCCTCACTAATAACCAAATACCCAATCTGATCGGGTATTCTTTCTAAACCTTGGGTCAGAGCGGTGGTCTGCAATTCAACAAAAGGCAATGCAGGAATTAAACAGTTGCAGAGATCATTTATGTTCAATAATTCCTTACAGCTTATTGCCTTCTCAATCACATTATGTATAATATCACTTTTATGCTTTCCATAAGCATACGCTCAACATAACAAAACCTTTTCATTGAAATAAACATTTAGTTTAGACAAATGGCTCCAAAATAACAATTATATTTACCATTTTTAGGCAGTGCTGATGAATTTACACTGTCGTCTTCCTTCACACCTCGCCTCACGTGACTGACAAACAAGAGTCGCGTGTATATAACGTCATCGCGGAAAAAGATTGCTTTTCCTGTATATTTTACATCACTTTTATGTTTTTATGCTTCGGGGATGTACAAAGTGTGATATTATCAGCAAATGGGTTAAAATGTTGCTTATTGTGACAATTCTGTCAGTGTTTTGGATGTGCGCGCACTTATTCTGATCCGAGATCAGCTGTCTAAATAAAGCGCTTACGGTCTAGTCAAAGCGGAAGTACACTAGTCAGCTGATTAAAGCATATGATCTCTACTGGACGGGAAAACATTTCACCCTCTGATTCTATATTTTATTTGAGCGAAAAATAAGAAAAACTCGCAATGCCTGGACGGGGGAAATTAATCGCAGTTATCGGGGATGAAGACACATGTACCGGATTCCTCCTCGGAGGGATTGGAGAGCTCAACAAAAACCGAAAACCCAATTTCTTGGTGGTGGAAAAGGACACTAGCATCACAGAGATAGAGGAGACCTTCAAGTAAGAGACAATATTTAAAATATCTGAATGATTTAAAATCATATATTACAATCCAAAATCAAATACATAGCCTAAATAAAAACGAAGAAATATGCCATCGTAAATATTAGTATAGGGATAATATTAAGGACGTTATCATAAACGTATACATTTTCTTTTGTGATCTTATCTATCGTACAGAACTTAATTATTAAACATTGATTGATTTAACCACAAATATTTAGATGATTCCTGTAACGTTATATTCCATATATCAGACTATGCGCCAATTGCTACAAGGTTTTTTAATGTTAGTTAGTTTTTTTTTTTTAAAGTGTCTTGCACTTACATGCCCAGCCCAAATAGGCTTAAAAGACATTAATGACATAAAACATTATACAAAAACAAGATAATCATCATACATTATTACATTATTTTTTAACAATCAAATATTGACTGAGTATTGTAGATTTCCTCATTTATAGTCCAAAATGTAATTTCTACTTGAATATCAACATCAATTGCTCATTTACAGGAGTTTCCTGGCTCGCAGTGACATTGGCATCATCCTCATCAACCAGTTCATCGCAGAGATGATTCGTCATGCTATAGATGCCCACATGCAGTCCATCCCCGCCGTGTTGGAGATTCCTTCTAAAGAGCATCCGTATGACGCCTCCAAAGATTCCATCCTGCGACGGGCCAAGGGCATGTTCTCAGCAGAGGATTTCCGATAAGTTGATACACCCATGGAGTCACAGTCCGGCCTCGGCAGATGCAAGAGTAAACAAGGGTTACTTCTTGTTCTCATCCATCTTGCTGAAGCTGGAAACCATATTACAAGGATTATATAATGATATGTTGTTAATGTGATGCTCTGTGATGTGTGTGATGTGTATTTTGCCATTCCCGAAGTTTGAAAAGGAGGAAATTGTTTGTCACTGCTCCTAATCATAATTGTTTAAATTCTGTACAATATTATTTATAATATAAGAAAGAAAGACATTGTGTAACAGACATTATATATGGAAAGAAATTAAGGTAAATTAATTTCTTATAAATACTGCACCTTCACTATTTAAGCTCTGGACTGTAATATTGGACTGCAGAACCACCGTTCAGTAACTGAGCGCTTACAAATCTGTCTCAAATTACTTTGTGTTAACTGTTAACAGTTTTAGGTTACCTACAGTGGGCTACAAATACACGTTTTGTCATTGTGTTGGTTGACACGTTGAGCTGTACACAGTGTGATATCATTAAAATATGTTAACTTAAATCTTCAGAACTGTGAATTGCAATTTATTACAAGTAATGTAGTCTTACACTCCATTGGTGTTGTGTGAATAATGTGTGTCTATAATGTTTAAACAAATTAAATAATACATTGTAAGAAGCCTCTCTGGCTTAATATATAAATGCTTGTAGTAAAACTATGACACTCAGATAGTTAGTCATGAAATAATGATGAGAAATTGCTTTGGTGCCAGTTCCTGGAAATCATACTATCACTGTCACACTATGGAAATCTTACTAAAACTTTAAAACTATTGTATACTGTAGGCCTATTTATCGTTCTGTGGTTTCTTTAACTATCACTGTCAGCTCCCAAATATTTTCACAATGTTGATAAGGTCCCATCACTCTTAAAATGTCTTATTCAAGGTCAAAAACCCACTCTGGTCTGTGGGAATTACACACACATTCAGATCCCCAAAAGGTCTGGGAATTTTATATAAGCTTGAATCAATTGGTCTGCTTCATTGACCTTCACTCTGTTCAGTAAGTCAGTGCTGGTGTGATGAACAGTATGTTTTCTGTCTGGACTCTCAGCTCTCTGATTCTCACCTACACTCTTGCATTTCCAATCTTCAATAACACAAGGTATGATATCTTCAAGTACGAAAAATAGTTAATTTAGTATTTTATCCACAAAAATGTTGTATGTTATCCTCCCCACACATACTTATGATTTATTCTTTTCAACAGTGTGTCTCATATGGAGATTTCCCCTAATACAGTGAGGAACTCCACAGAGTATATGAAGACCAATCACACAAACAAGTATAGAACATTTTCCAATTTACACACAAACATAGAGTTCTAAAAAATGCTAAAACAATTCTCTCATCTCACCCAAATGTCTTGACTTCTCCATAGATCCGAAACAGGGATACCAAAAAGGAAAAAATTTCTGTAAGTCATGCGTTTAATTAATTTGTTTTTAAAATAATGCATGTATAATAATCTATTTATATTATAATAATAAAGTTGGTGTTAATTAAATATGTTAACATTTGCATTTAAAATAATGGAATAATTCTTTCCATTGTAATTGTTAATTAGTTTATTAATGTATGCTGCCCTCATGACATACCATAAAAAAATGGACAAAGAATGCTTGTTTTGTTCATAAATTTACACAGATAACAATTATATTGTGTAGACCACACTAATCTAAAATGCTAATATAAAATTGAGACTTTGACAGCACCCCTTTCACACAAATATCAAATCTGAAATGTCTGGTGAAATGTTACCATAAAATATAACAAATAACTTCCTGTCTCGTTCTTCATGTGTCATTCATATCTTTTTAACACACACCAGATTCATTGTATTATAGCAAATGACCTTTAAATGATTTACATTCTGACAAAGGAACAGAATATTAATTTAAATCCTCATTCAGAGTTGGTGCCTGCAATACACTTCTCTCTCATTTCAGAAGGATGTGTTTTCTGTCCACTTGTGCCATGTGGAACCTGGGGTCTATGCTACAGCATGGGAATGAGATTGCTGGGGACATGGCCACAGATCCAATGGGAATTGGCAAAAAATAAAGCATGAACTTGAATGATCAAATAATGATGAAATGGTGTTTCACTGAATATTCACCCACGTGTTATCTTAGGCTTGCTGTAATTCTGTAAAAACAGGATTGATTTAGGCATGTTGTTATTAGGCGAGTCATACTCAATCTCTATAGTATGATTTTAGTGACATTCAGCAGTTTATTTCTGTCCATGTTTATTTCTGGATAAATGTATAACATAAATATAACATATGTGCAAAGTTTTTTATGTTTAGTGAAAGCTGATTTATTTGTGAATAAAAAAAGCTTTTACCTACAGTGTCATTATTTTTATTGTCTTGATGTAGTGAACATAATATATAAAGTATAACTTCATTAAAGGTGAAGTATTATGACTCTTTAAACAATGTGTTATAAACAGCACTCTTTCAGTTTGTGTTGTTTGGTGATTGAGAATCTGATGACTAAAACTAGCTGCCAGAGTTACAAGTTCTCAAAGCTGTGTACATCATCTAATTTTTAATTAATTAATTGACATGACATAGCCTACAGCAGGATAATCTAGCATGTACAAACCACATTATGTTAGTTGTCCAGTAATCACAAAAGGCATGAATGAAAACTGATTCTTAAAACATCACATCATTATTGGCACTCTGAGAGGGAAACTCGTAAAAGCACAGTATCTACAACCCAGAAACAGCTGATAAAATATAACGGAAGCCAGATTGGTTTGACTTTAACAAAAGATAAATTGTCGATGGACAAAATATTCCCTCTAAAACTAATGTTAAAATCAAGTTTTTTTGATAGACCTGTTGAATATCCAAACACACACTTTAGACAAAAATCTGGTCCTTTCCCATGATTATTGCCCAACATTGTGACTTCCAATTGATTTATTAATTATCCATGGTGACTAATTACCTCTCTTTATACTCCAAAACACTGACAAGTACTCATCAATCCTCTCTGTCTATTTGTCTCTTAACTTAAGGACATATAGTTCTACCTGTGGGAATCACACACAGAGAGATAATATACTCTCACCGAACACCTGTTCAATTTCTTATTCATGTAAGTATCCAATCAACCAATTACATGGCAGTTGCTTCAGTGCATTTAGGGGTGTGGTCCTGGTCAAGACAATCTCCTGAACTGCAAACTGAATGTCAGAATGGGGAAGAAAGGTGATTTAAGCAATTTTGAGCGTGGAATGGTTGTTGGTGCCAGACGGGCCGGTCTGAGTATTTCACAATCTGCTCAGTTACTGGAATTTTTACACACAAACATTTCTAGGGTTTACAAAGAATGGTGAGGTCAGAGGAGAATGGGCCTACTGATTCAAGCTGATAGAAGAGCAACTTTGACCGAAATAATCACTAGAGTACAACTGAGTATATTTAAGATATCTTCAAGCTGAATTGACAATTTATTAGAAAAAGAAAACTCTCTCTCTCTCTCTCTCTCTCACACACACACACACAGTGTCAATGATGGGTTTTGAGGCAGGAAAGTAATGGTCACATACTCTGACTTTAAAAACGATTTGCTGAATTTTGACCATCTTAAATGTTTTTTTTTTACAGTAAGAAAAAGTTCTTCAATATTCTTATAAACACTATCAAAAACTTTTTTTTGCTTTGCTACCCTTTTCATACACAGGATTTCCTCTGTCACTGTTATCTTTAGGCTAATATTTGTAGTTATTTACTCAAATAAGGAAATAGTTTTTTTTTTTGTTAAATAAGATTCTTTTAATGCATTTGGCCATTTGGTTTGTCCTCTGGCAACCTGTTCCTTGACGAACCTGGGATCTTCCCTACAGACTGTAGATCGCTGAGACTCTGAAAAAAAATATAAAAATAAGCTGAATATAAGAACCCCTCTTAGACTTTGTGGTATATTACATATTTTCATAAATATTTTAATTACTCACACTCAAGAGCAGAAAACAAAAGAATGTGGGGAAAATAACTATGTAGTTACAACTGAGTGTGACTGACTCACATAGCCTACTATTGGAATGCAATAAGAATATTTATAAACAATTCATATAAATATATTAATTGGCATTATAAATGTATATATAATTCTGTGAAGGCATCAGTAGGGTCTCATCAATCTTCTCTGTATCTTTTAAAAATATTTGTCCCTGTCTTACTCAAGGACAAAACCTACTCTGGTCTAATAATTATTACACACAGATTCAGATCCCTAAAGATTGATGAGCATTTGAATAATCAAGGAATTATGTAACCCCTCACTCAGGTTCACCAGAGCAACTACTAGCTGGCCTTCGTTTCATATATATATAAGCTTGAATCAACTGGTCTGCTTCATTGACCTTCACTCTGTTCAGTAAGTCAGTGCTGGTGTGATGAACAGCATGTTTTCTGTCTGGACTCTCAGCTCTCTGATTCTCACCTACACTCTTGCGTTTCCCATCTTCAATAACACAAGGTAAGATATCTTCAAGAATAACTGAAATATTGTCCACAAAAGTGCCCAATTCTGCTTCATCAAAATGATTTTTTTAATTTTTTTTTTTTTTTTTTTTTAGAATGACGATCTCTCCCAATTTCACAGACCAGGGAAACTGGTATTCACACATACAATGTTTCATAAACAACAAATTTATTGAATAAATGTTTTAAGTGAACTGATTTGTCTTTTCTTATTTCTTAATTAGTTAAAATGTAATTACACTTATGTGTGTTGACATTCAAAAAACATTGTTTCATTTTCAAAAACATGTGATTAAAGAATTCAACCTCATGAACACAATTAAATAATTATGAAATTGAAATTGCTTGTAAAATTTACCTGTTTGTTTTGTTTGTCTTTTTAGGTCAGTTTTTGGCTTCCCTGTGGGGTAAGAATTTTTAATTAACATGACAAGACTGAAATGTGAATGTCAATTTATAAGTGAGTTTGTCATTTGCATGAGTACAATATAATTAAGCATGCAAGGTTCTTCCTGGTAGCTCAATTTCTTCTTGATAAAACTACGATATGAGATTCCAATGCATGCTAATATCTATCTGTTCCTTACAGAGCCAGATGTCCACTTTCTATCTGTGGCCTGCATATACTGGCAGACAGCCTTCAGACTGGGGATGAGAATGCAGGAAATATTGCACAGGACCCATGGGGGCCTGGGAAAAAATAAGAGATGTAGAAAAGGAGAAAAACTTTTGATTGTTTTTAGATAGATTTAATTGCCAAATGTCAATACTTTGAACCTAGATTCAAAAGTACCACATTTCCGTTTGGACGTTTCATTATTTATACAAAAAGAGCAAAAATAGAAATGTATCAACATTTTGCTAATGTCATTTTCACACCAATGAAGAATAAAATCATTTATAATACTAACCATTGACTCCTTTTCCTTCCTTGCTTTAAAAAAAAAAAAGAAAAGAAATGAAAACTCACAGTAAAAGGAAACAAGAAATTGTGGCAAAATAAATGTAAAGCTGCTGCATGGACTACCAGAAGATGAAACCGAATACACTGAATGTGTATGTTACTGATGTCCTCTAAGCAGTGGCACAGCTGGCACCAGAACACATTTCACTGTTGTACGTGCACACAGCTCAACTCTATCAATCTCCTCCAGTGGAGAGGTTTTATGACACCATTTGAAAGCTGTACTAGCTGTATAAAAGTATCAAGCTTTGGTGCATTTGAAACACAAATCACAAAAAACAGTGTATACAGTGAAACAGTCAAGCTGTGAAATTCTAAAGGTCTTCTAAAGGGCTCATCATAAGAAATTAAGATATAATACAACAAATTTAATTTAAACTTTAATTTTAATTTAAGACAAGTGGAATTTTATATCTCATAATTGTGATTTTATATCTTACAATATAACAATTTAGAATTGCAACCTTTTAAAAAAAAACTTTGTTTCTTGGAATTGTGACATTATGTCTTGCAATGTAAATATTAACCAGGCATTTTTCTCACCACTTGTCAGAAAGGAGGGGGGAAAATCATTTAAAAAAAAAATAGAGAGATATTTGGTTTGTGCCAAGCATCTTTCTTTTTGAAAGCTGCTATACAGTATATACATGTATAGCAATCTTAAATCGTATAAAATAATATGGTTGTAACATCAAGGTAAATGTTCCTCATTTCAAAGACACAAGACCACACAGGGCATCACAAAGTTTTTGAAGCCTTGGACACACACACACACACACACACACACACACACACACCATGAAATTTGGAGTTGGACTTTATAGCCAGGCCAATTTATCGTCATTAAAGATGTAAAAACCGCTTGGATTCAAAAGTGCTAACTTAGACATTTTAGCATTCATGCAAGAGAGCAAAATAGAAATGTGCGTGCCATTCTCAACAATAACGTCATCTCTTTGTACAAATTAATAAACTAATTTTTATTACTATCCATTAACTTGTTTTTTTATGTTGATGATAAAATACTCTCAATATGTAACGAGTAATGTTGCCTTATTACACTTGAATATAAATGTTGCCAACCTAAAAAATGCACATGGTATCTGAATAAAATTCTGTATTATATATCACCCTAGAGTTCTTGACTCAATTTTAAAGAACCCTTTCACTGTAAAAAAAATATTGTTGGTTTAACTTAAAAAAATAAGTTACCTGGTTGCCTTAAAATTTTAAGTTTATTGAAATGGGAAAAAAATGAGTTAATACAATGAAGCAGATTAATTTAATCACCAGAAACTCAAAATATTACAGTATGTTTTCTGAACTACATAAATTATCTAAGTTAATTTGACAAAAGAAAAAATGTTGTGATTACAAATCATGAAAATATTTTTTACATTGAATAATTACATATGATTACATACTTGAATGTTTAATGGGTTATTTCAATTTTAAGTAGCCCAAAAATGCATATTTTCATAAATATTTAAATTACTCACGCTGTCAAGAGCAGGAAACAAAAGAATGTGTGGAAAATAACTGATACAACTGAGTGTGACTACCACATACTATTAGAATGCAATAACACATACATATATTAATATATATTATTCATATACATATTGGTATTATAAGTTCTAAAATGTAATTTTCTGAAAGCACCAGTATGGTCTTGTCAATCTTCCCTGATGTCTTTTAAAAAATATTTGTCCCCATGTCTTACTCAAGGACAAAACCCACTCTGGTCTGTGGGAATTACACACACATTCAGATCCCCAAAAGATCAATGAGCATTTGAATGATCTGAGAATTTTATATAAGCTTGAATCAACATGGTCTGCTTCATTGACCTTCACTCTGTTCAGTAAGTCAGTGCTGGTGTGA